ACCGCAGCTATTACTCCGAACAAGACATCTCACACTCCAGGGGAAATTTGTCAGCGTGCGAAGAATCTCTCGCCGAGCATGAAAGTTTATTAGAAATACTCACTGACAAGGGTTCCGGGCGAAGGGAGGGCTTCCCATTGGCTTTCCTTCCTCCTCTTTGGTGCTGGGGTTTTCCTTCCTGAAGGGAAATGGCTTCCGAATAGTTGCCTCTGAAAGCCCGAGAGACCTCGGAGAGCGGTGTGCCCCAGGAAGGCTGGCGTGGAGGGGCACCTGGGGGGGGGGCGGAAGGCTGAATAAAACCCCCAAGAGGCCCCCACACCCCAATCCCTTGGGCCTGTGTGTTACCTTACAGAGGGCAAGGGGTTTGGCAGAGGAGACTCAGTTGAAATTCTCGGGACGGGGAGATGATCTGGACTATCTGGGTAGCTCAGGGATGCAATCACAGGTGTCCTGAGAGGGGACTGGAGAGTCTGCTGTAGGCGCAAAGCGCACCAGGCGTCAGACCTGCCGCCGCTCTGCAGAGCGTGCGAACGGGGACCTTGTGGGAAGCCGCTCTGTGTCCCTGAGCCCCTAACGGTGCTCACAGCGGCTCCTCGTTACCGTCTCTCCTGCTTCATCTCCCCGACGAGGCTGCGCGGGGCTCTGGGACGCGGCCATATGCTGCCAGGAGGGAGCAGGAGGCATGTGCCGTCGGTTACCAGACATCTCGTTAGTGCCAGCTGTGCACCAGGCCTCCTGCCCGGGGCTGGGGAGGCACAGATGTGTCTGCACACAAGCAGATGCTTGGCACTGTGCTGAGCCTGGGAAAGGCTCAGGAAGAGGCAGCAGCCGGAGAGAAGGGAGGAGAGAGGCGTCAGGGAAGGCTTCTCTGAGGAGGTGGCGTTTCAGCTGCATCTCAGACAGTGGCACGGGGGAAAGGACCAGTGGGCGCAGGGGAAAGGTCCGCCCTGGAGAGAAGTGGCATGTCCCCGAAGCTCCGGGAAGGCGCTGGAGAGGCCAGGGCCAGCGAGGTGCACGGATCTCTGCGGGCATCTCACACGGCGAGGACGAAGCTAGCGGCCGCCGGGGGGCGACAGAAAGGCTCTGAGAGGACGGAGACCTTTCGGACTCCAGAGGGGGCTCTCTGGCGGCCAGCATGGCACCGAGACTCAAGGGAGCCAGGCAGGAGGCGGAGAGAGGGCTGGGGTCTCTCTGGGATCCCCTCACTCAGATCCTGACACAGGTTTGGGGCACGCATTCTGCTTGGGGGGAGCCTGCAGGAAGCCCGTGAAGGAGGAAGGCAGGTGCGATCGGAGGGGAGGAACGCCAGTGGAGGGTGGATTGGTGAGTGGTGACCAGCGTGGCACCTGGGATGCAGTCCCGCTGCAGCCCCTCCCGGAGGCCTAGGGGACAAGCTCAGAACCGCCCCGTGGAGGGGCGTGGAGGCGGGGGCTCACCGTTCCCAGCGGGGAGAGGCAGAAAGCCGTCCACAGGTGGGTAGCCCGCTGCAGGGAATGGGGGTTCCTCCAGGGCCAAAGGGCAGGACCTACACGGCATCAGCGATTGCCGGTGAGGACAAAAGCCAGTGGCTGCTGGACATGCTGGACAGAGCAGGCTGGGTTCTAGCTGGGAAAGGGGCTCTATGAGCTAATGGTGTTCTAGAATGTGCGAAGGGATGGCCATTCCCTGGCCGCGTCTGTAGATCCATCCTGTGAGCTCACTTTTTTTGTCTTTTAAAGCCTGGCCTTGGCTTTGAATGAGACACGCTCTTAGGCGAGATATCAGCATGTAAAGGTGTCACCCCCTGCCATGGAGCAGCCACAGACTCCAGGGGGTGGGGAGTCGGGGCTGGGGGTGTAGGAAGGAAGGGGGTTGGAGAGAGCCCGGGAATGCCAGCGCTGAAGGGTGGCCTGAAGGAGACCAAGCAGGACTGGCCAGAGAGGCAGCCAACAGCCCAGAGCTGGCCCCAGTCAGAGGGAAAGAGCCATGCGGGGAGGCAGCAAGCCCAGGAGTCAAGGACAGGGGGTGTCTCGGGGAAGACAGCATCGTTGAGAGGAAGTGGATGGCCCGGAGAATCCCAGCTTCCCGGCGGCGGCCGTGTGGCCGTGGGCAGGCGCCGAACCTCTCTGAGCCCTGCCTCCTCGGCTGGGGGCATCGATTACCTCCTGGGGTGGCTGGGTGATTCGTGTGTCAGAGAGAGAGTTAGCCCTGCTTCTGGCACGGAGTAAGCGTTTAATGCCAACTCTTCCGGGAGGAGGGTGGTGAGGGCGATGTACAGACAGTGCTGAAGGCACATGGCGGGCGCGCGGCTGATGGAGGGGCGGTCCTGGTGGCCGCGAGGATGATGGTTCTCAGGAGAAGGCTGGCTGTGCGTGGAAGGAAGTTGGGACGGAAGCTTTTAGACCTGGAAGTGAGGGAGAGTTCCCCTCACAGCCAGGAGGGGGGTGAGCGGGATTGGACGCTGATGGGGTGCAGCCCCCAAAGTGGGGGGGGGGGGGACTGATGGGCCTGGTGGAGGGTGAGGGGCCTGAGCTGAGGGTCCTTGTGAACCTCGTTCATCGAGGAAGCGCGCTCAGGAGAAGGGGCTGCAGGGACCGGGGTCTGCAGAGGAAGGGCCCCGCAGGGACTGGCCTGGGGCTGGCCTGCACCGCAGGGGAGGGGCTGGCCTTTGCGCCTCTGTGTCAGTGAAGCGGGCTGAGGTCTGCTGCACGGCGGAGCACGGGGTGCGGGGTGTCAGCCTCTGGAGGAAGGCAGCTCCGGTTGGGCAATGGCACTTGTCTGCAGGCGGGCACAGGGCACGGGGAGAGGATCCGGGCCAGGCCCTCCAGCGCCTCAGACCTCACCTCAGAGGCATACTTTTTACTTTGGGGAGATGAGGACAAAAATCTGTAATGCCCCAGGAAACCTAGGATGCGTCATGGCTGTGCCCATGTCTTGTTGGATGTATCTGTTACTAACCAGCCACACAGTCTCTTGTGTAGGGGTCTGTCTCCCTGATGAACTGAGGCCCTGAGGAGCATTGTGTGGGGTGGGGACGGGGCGGGGGAGGGGGAGGGGGAGAGGAGGAGTGACTCCCCCGTTCCAGGGCTCGCCTGTCTGCTCATGTCCGTCACAGAGCAGACATCCATGAAAGGCCTGGCGCTTGTTTGTGAGAATAGTTGTTTTTTTTTTTTTTTTTTTTTTTAATATATTATATTGATTTTTTTTACAGAGAGGAAGGGAGAGAGATAGAGAGCTAGAAACGTCGATGAGAGAGAAACAACGACCAGCTGCCTCCTGCACACCCCCCACCGGGGATGTGCCCGCAACCAAGGTACATGCCCCCGACCGGAATCGAACCTGGGACCTTTCAGTCCGCAGGCCGACGCTCTATCCACTGAGCCACACTGGCTTCGGCTGTGAGAATAGTTTTTGTAACCAGGAGGGAGGTGGCCCCGAATCCCACCCACCCTCCACGGGGACCCAGGGCTCGCTGAGCTAGATGTGACGTCGTTCCCAGACCACACCCCGTTCTGCTCTTCTGTTTTTAATTGTATTCAGCAGGACCAACACGCATTTAGTTTTCCTGTGTGCAAGGCGCTGATCTGGTTATCAGAAATAGAAATAGGTACATGGACCGAAATTATACTTCCACAGGAGGTCCATTCTGAAGCTCCTACTCCAGGAAATGGGGGGAACTGCTCATGATTTACCATATTTTCTGGCGTATAAGACGACCCCTAATTTTACAGTTAAAACATAGGTTTAGGCCTATATTCGCTGTAGAAGACTACCCCCCACTTCAAAGAAAAGACTTACTTTGCCATCAAGATCTGCAGGTAATTTTTGTGCAATTTTGGTCTTTTGCCCCCGATTTTCAGTTGACCTTTTTTCATTTCAAAAGTCGTCTTATACGCCGGAAAATACGGGTACAAACTTCCATTATGTGGAGCCCCGTGAGGAGAAAAATGTGAAATCAGGTAAGATTGTTTTTAGAGAAAATGTGTGATTATTGGGCTTTAAAATGCAGTGGAAACCACTGCAGATAATCAGATAACGAGATTTTCTCCCAAAATCCAAGGGGGACATCAAAGAGCTCAAAATTATGACTGAAAAGATAAAAGACCCTGATGATTCAGAATGCATTTTTAACAGGAAAATTCTTTTCACATGGAAAAGGGGCAATAATCCAAAAAATAACAATAGGAAATATCACTTATCTGAAGGAAGTGGGAATTATTCAACTCAAAAGAGCTTACCAAGCATCAGACAGAATTAAATAAATGCGGCCTACATACAAAAATAGCCTCATGCAAATGTTTCTTATTTCAAAGGAGCTTTGGGTTAAAAAAAATTACTTAGAGAGGCAATTACCTTTGATTGAGAAATGAATTAAAATAGATCAAATATGGGGAATATGTGGTATAAAAAAAGCAGTGCTGTGAGCAATGAAAATAGAGAAATGTAAAGTTAATGTCTAAGTACTGTTGTTATCATGGTATGAAACATAATACAACTGTCAGAATAATGATTGAAATATTTAGTGAAAAGAAAAAAAAAATTCATCTGGAACCTAAACCCACTGACGGAGAGAAAAATTAAAAGCTTAATTTTTCTTCTTACATGAGGAATTAGAGAAAAACCACGAGATAAAATGTGATCAACAAAGGAAAGATGAGGGAAACTCAAAAAATCAAAAAAAAACCGCTGTAATATCTATGAACAAATGATTCTATCTTTATAATAAACTAGAGGCCCAGTGCACAAAATTTGTGCACGGGTAGGGTCCCTAGGTCTGGTCGGTGATCAGGGCCAATCAGGGCCTTCCAGCTGCTGGCCAGAGCCTTCCTTCATTCCACACTGCCCCCTGGTGGTCAGCACTCACCTAATGAGGGATCCACCGGGAAACCACCCTCCACTTCTCACCTACATGCCCCTCCCCAGCCCCCCGTTCCCCCCCCCTCCCATCCCCCGCAATTCAGATATGAAGATGGGCAAGACGGGTCCTTTCTCATTCAGAATGCCCTGTCCTCCTCTCTCAGATCCAGGAGATGGTCCACTCCGAGGTTGCCGCCTACGACTCGGGCCGGCCAGGGCCCCTGCTGGGCCGCCCCGCGATGCTGGCCAGCCACATGAGCGCCCTCAGCCAGTCCCAGCTCATCTCTCAGATGGGCCTCCGGAGTGGCATCGCCCACAGCTCCCCGTCGCCCCCGGGAAGCAAGTCCGCGACCCCCTCTCCCTCCAGCTCGACCCAGGAGGAGGAGCCGGAAGCACACTTCAAGGTGGGCAGGCAGGGTGGCCGGCACAGCCGGGGCCTCCCGTTGGCAGGAGGACGGGTCCTGCGTGGAAACGGGCACCGCTTACCAACGGAAAAGACGGGAGAGTCTAACCGTGCCCTTGGCTGGAAAGCAAGGAGGTAGCAGGCTCGGGGAGAAAATGAAGCCTTGCTCCTGGGTGGCCTGTGGGTCATGTGACCAGACGCCCCGCTCTTGGCGGGACAGTTCCAGTTTTTAACAATTTGAACCGCGTCTCGTGGCGTTTTAAAAAAAAGTCCCGATTTTTGGAAAGAAAAATCTTTTAAATCTTTTGGACGTTTTTAAAAATGCCGCCGGACGCAGGACAAATTGTTAAAAATCAGGACTGTCCCACCAGAAGCGGGATGTCTGGTCACCTTACCGGAGAACCATTTCGGTGGCATACTCTGGCAAAAATGTGTGGTCCAGCAGAGGGCGCCTCTGGGCGGCCCTGACCTCGGGATGGGGCTCTAACCGTGACCCCTCCCCTGGGGACATGGCCCCTGGGCCTCTCCCATCGCACGTGAGGATGCGAGCTCCCCAGCTGCCCAGGCTCTGGCCCTGGCCTGGCTTTGCCACTGCCCACGGCTCCCTCCCTGTCGGGGAGCATCTGCTGTACCTGGGGCAGCAAACGGGCCCGCAGGGCCAGCGATGGACGTGCTTGCCGGGAGCCTCCCCGTGAGCCGGTGGCAGAACCAAGATCTGATCCCACACGTCCTGCCTCTTTCTCCTGTCCACGTGGGGCCCCGCAGAGGCCTGGGCTGGAGCCGTGGTGCCCACGCCATCTGGCAGAGACCCTGGCCTCCTAGCTGGGCGGAGGGAGGTGCCTCTGGATCCTGGTCCCGCTCCATCACCGTGATAACGTGGTCTCTGCCACAGGCCGGGCACGTGGTCAGGGGGACAGGAGAGCTCGGTCGGACCCAGGCTCTGAGAGCTGGCGGACAAGAGGGACCGAGATGTTCTCGCGTATCTCACAGGGAAGGAGGCAGAGGCCCAGATCGGCGAATTCGCCGGGGAACACAGCTGGGAAGCAGCAGGCGTGGGAGGGGCCTAGCTTCCCATCTCACAGATGGGCAAGCCGAGCCCAGGAACAGCCGCTGGCTCCGGGCCTCTCACACCTGTCCTTTCCTTGTGTGTTGAGAAAGCGTTCCTAACACAGTCCCCACGGGCCAGCAGCCTGAGCACATACGCACTGATGCACGGGGCCCTCCTCACAGCGCTCCCTTCGGCAGGTGGGGAGGCTGAGGCAGGGAGAGGTGAAGCGACTTCAGTGGGATTTAGTCTTCGTTACCGATTAGGGTAGTTTATCCTCTGGGAAGGTTAGCCGGAGGGAAAGGGGATGGAGGGGCCAGGGGCATCCGCCCCGCAGAGAAGGTGAAACTGAGTCCTGGACGTGGTCGTTTTACCCACTCCATCTCCAGGGCACTGGCCCGTTTATCTCTTTGAGTCAACTCTACCATCATTAATGAGTTAAGCAAAAAAAAAAAATCCAGGGCTCCTGTCCGGAAGGTGGGTGTGCCTGTCTGTCCGTCCGTCCGTCCGTCTTGTCTGCCTGTCCATTACCCCCCCCCTCCCAACCTGGGGAGGGGATTAGCCCGACAGTGTGGCCCAAGCTTCCCGTGTTCTAGCCCGGAATGGCCAGGCCCAGGGAGAGAACAGGGCCTGCCACCTATGAGTGGGCCTGGGAGCGGAGGCGGGAGTCCCTGGCATCTCCGGTTCTGACTCCTCTCGCCCGTGCAGATGTCGGGGGAGAAGAGACCCTCGGCCGACCCGGGGAAAAAGGCCAAGAACCCCAAGAAGAAGAAGAAGAAGGACCCCAACGAGCCCCAGAAGCCCGTGTCCGCCTATGCACTCTTCTTCCGGGACACGCAGGCCGCCATCAAGGGGCAGAACCCCAGCGCCACCTTCGGCGACGTGTCCAAGATTGTGGCCTCCATGTGGGACAGCCTGGGGGAGGAGCAGAAGCAGGTGAGTGTCCGTCTCTCTCCGGGCCCCGGAGCCCGGGACGGGTGAGAGGGGCCAGGAGCCGGGGGCTGATCCTGGGCTGCGTTTGCCATCGGTGAGATGGGAAGCCGGGTCCCTCCCGCGTCTGCCGTTTCCCAGCCGCGTCCACGAGCGACTCCGCTGGTCTGGGCCTCCCTGTCCACCGAGTCCTCCGGCTCTCAGTCTGCGGTCAGGCCAGAGCCTCCCTGGACCCTGACCACGCGCCTGCAGCCCTCGCTCGGGGCTCCCAGAGGAAACGGGGAGTAGAAACAGCTGGGAGGCCGAGGCCAGCCGGCAGCAGCGTGCCCTCCGGCGGACCCTAACTCTCCCTGCCTGCTCACGTCTTGGGTCTTTCAGGCCTACAAGAGGAAGACCGAAGCGGCGAAGAAGGAATATCTGAAGGCTCTGGCGGCCTACCGGGCCAGCCTGGTCTCCAAGGTAACCCCTAGCATCCTAGGCGCAGCCCCGAGGGGTGGCGCGGGCGCTGAGGCCCGCGGGAAAGGACGGACACCGCGGTCACTCCTCCAGCGCGCCTGCCGTGTGCTGGGCTCGTGCCGGCCACCTGGCATGGATCTCGTTCCATTCAATTCTCCCGGCAAGAACCCAGGGCTCGGAGAGGGGAAGCATCTTGCCTGACATTGCACCGTGTGTCGGGCTGCCGTACTGAGAGTCAAACCCAGGTCGGCCACGCCTCCCAGTTGGCCTTCCCCCCTGACCACGCTGTGGGCCTCCTGGGTCGGCCCCAGCGCTGCAGGCAGCAGGCTCAGGTGACGGTGGATAAGTGGCCCACGGGGGGGGGGGGGGGGGCAGGGTGCTGTCCGGAAGCTATCACAGGGGACAGGGCACCTGGGTCACGCCGCAGAGGGCGGAGCCAAGAGGCTGCTCCAAGGCAAGGGAACAGCACCTGCAGGTGCACAGAGGCTGGGCAGGAGCATAAATAGAGGACGGCCCCGTTGGGTGCTGCTGGCCTCAGTGGCCAGGCTGGGGAGCACGGGTCCCCCGTCGGCAGAGCCCCTGGTAGATGGAATAGAGAAGGGAGCCGGAGACCGGGATGGCAGGACACACACAGGCTTTGTTGGAGGGAATGGCACCCCTGCCGGCTGCTTCCACAGAGAGGGTGGAAGAGAGCGAGGGCCGGGGGTACAGGCACCTTTAAGGGAAGGATAGGGGCCGGGGCTTAGGGCACTCAGCACCCGCGGACGGGTGATTAGGGACCGAGGGACTTAGGAACCGGGGGCTTAGGGTATTTGGCAGGTGCTGATGGGTGGTTCAGAGCTCAGGAATGTCTGGCCGCAGGTGGGGTTTACGTCTGTCCGTCAACTGGAGCAAGGGAGGATCTATCAGCCCCGAGGATTGAAGCAGGGCTGGCTGGATGGTTAGAGCTCAGTGCAAGGAGGACCAGAATAATGTCTGTGAGCGCACAGATGTCCCCGGAAGGGCCGGAGAGCCAGCCGGGGGTCCATGTCTCCCCCGGAGTGACCGGTGTCCGTCTGTCCCCTGGCAGAGCTCCCCGGACCCCGGTGAGGCCAAGAGCGCCCAGGCGAACCCGCCGGCCAAGATGCTGCCGCCCAAGCAGCCCGTGTACGCCATGCCGGGCCTGGCCTCCTTCCTGACGCCCGCAGACCTGCAGGCCTTCCGCGGGGGGGCGGCCCCCGCCGGCCTGGCCCGGACGCTGGGCCCCAAGGCGCTGCTGCCCGGCCTCAGCGCCTCCCCGCCGCCCTCCTTCCCGCTCAGCCCCCCGCTGCACCAGCAGCTGCCCCTGCCCCCCCACGCCCAGGGCGCCCTCCTCAGCCCGCCCGTCAGCATGTCCCCCGCGCCCCAGCCGCCCGTGCTGCCCGCCCCCATGGCGCTGCAGGTGCAGCTGGCCATGAGCCCCTCCCCGCCGGGCCCACAGGTGAGCAGGGCTGGGTGAAACGCGCTTCCCGGGGGGCATCTTGGGACTTTAGCTACCAGCCCCGCCGCTCACCGGCTGTGTGACCACGGCCTGGGCACCGTCCCTCTCGGAGCCTCAGTCTCCAGGCCCATGAAATGGGTCTGGTCACCTTACCCGACATGGACGCCCCGGGGCAGGGCGCTGCCCAGCTGCCAGGCAGATGGCTCAGACCCTTAGATGGTCCAGGCCCTCCTTCTCCCGTCCTCTGTCTGCGGCTGTCTGTCTGGCCGGAGGGGCTGCGGCCACGGCGGCTCCTGCCAGGTCAGCCCTGGCCCTGGCCCTCCCCGGAGCCTTCGAGGCCTGACCCCACGGATGGTGCCACAGACACTGTTCCCAGACTTTTTTTTTTTTAAAGAAAGTTTTTATTATTATTACTATTATTTAAATATATTTTATTGATTTTTTTACAGAGAGGAAGAGAGAGGGATAGAGAGTTAGAAACATCGATGAGAGAGAATCATCGATCACCTGCCTCCTGCACACCCCCTACTGGGGATGTGCCCTCAACCAACGTACATGCCCTTGACTGGAATCGAACCCGGGACCTTTCAGTCCGCAGGCCGACGCTCTATCCACTGAGTCAAACCGGTTTTGGCCCAAGACTTTCATGAGGTCCCTCAGCCCAGTAACTCCAATGTACAGATTGGGAAACTCTGTCCCAAAAAAGGAAAGGTCCTGAGAGCAAAACCCCCGTCCCCCACCTCCGTGCAGCTGGGACAGGGCTGAGTTTTGTAAAAGGCGCTCCGCTGGGAAAAGGGAAAGCATGCGGGGCAGAGCGGGGGGCATGCCAGCCGGAGGGCAGGCCCTGTGCCCACCTCGGGCACAGGCAGCCCCATCCTCCCCTACCCCCCCCCCACCTCTCGACCCCCCTGAGACAGGCACCGGGCTCTCTCCTTCGCTCACCGCCTCCTCCTCCCTCCTCGCAGGACTTCCCGCACATCTCCGAGTTCCCCGGCGGGTCCGGGTCCCGCTCCCCGGGCCCGTCCAACCCCAGGAGCAGCGGCGACTGGGACAGCAGCTTCCCCGGCGGGGAGTGCGGCCTCGGCACCTGTAGGTCCGTCCTCGCCCCGGCCACGGGGTGCGGCCCTCGGCCCGGGGGGACGGGACGGGACAGAGCCGGGAGGGACAGGTGGGCAGGCGGCCCTCTCAGCGGCGGCGCCCACTGCCCCGGCCCCAGCTGCCGGCCTCCCGGGGCCTCACCCTGCCAGGCCCTCTGGTGGGCACACAGGTGTGGCATGTGCCCCCCTTCTGCCGTGCCTGGGGAGAGGGTCTGCCTGGCGGGCTGGCAGCTCAGCAGTGATGCCCTCCCCCAGCCTGAGAGGTCCAGCTCCTCCCACTGAGCCCTCCCCCGGAGCCAGGGCGCTGGGAGGTGGCGGGGTCTCCAGTGGCCCTCACAGCACGTCCGAGCTCCCCCCCACAGGGAGCCAGACCCCAGCGGCGCCCCGGTTCATGCTTGGTTTTCGTGGCGGTGTCATTGGTGAGGAACACGGTTAGTGTCAGGCGGTCAGCGGGATGATTCGGTGTTTGTGTGTGCTGTGGCATGGTGCTGAGTCCGTGCACACAGGCAGCACACAGCTCTGCTGTAGTTTCCTCTCTGAGGGCTGGGAGATCCACGCCTTCGCGGGTTCACGCAGGCCGCACGGTGTTAGCGGGGTCCCCCTGCCGGGCGTTACAGCCCAGCGCCTGTCCCCTCCCTCCGCCCTCCGCCCGCCCACCCAGCCTCTGCCACCCGGTCTGCTCTGGGTCTCCATGAGCTGGTTTTGTTTTGTGTTTTGGGGGGGTGTTATTTTTAGATTCCACGTACAAGTGTGGTCCCAGGACACCTGTCTTTCCCCGTCTGACTGCTTTTACTGAGGATCATGCCTTCCAGGGGCGTCTGTGTTGTCATACAGGAGTGCCCTATGTTGAAATATTTTTTAAAATATATTTTATTGGTTTTTCACATGGAGAGAGAGAGATAGAGAGAAGCGTCGATGAGAGAGAACCATCGATCAGCTGCCTCTTGCACACCCCCTACTGGGGATGTGCCCACAGTCCACAGGCCAACACTCTATCCACTGAGCCAAACCGGTTTTGGCTTAAAATATTTTTTTAAATGTTAATTTTTTTATTAAATTTATTTAAGAAAGAGAGGAAGGGAGAGAAAGAGAGACATTGATTTGTTGTTTCATTTGTTTATTCATGTATTGGTTGATTCCTATATGTGCCCTGACCGGGGGATCAAACCCGCAACCGTGGTGCAGCTGTGCGATGCTCTGACCAGCTGACACCGATCGGGGCGTGAGCGCCGCATTTAAAAACCACAGGGAGCACCTGCTCGCCTTTAACTCGGTTGGAAATTCATAAAAGAAACACTGACTAGGAAAACCACCTAGTGGTGGTGGTGTTAGGAGGATAGACACACTGCCTCCCCCTCCCCAGCACTGATGACGGGGAGGTTCAGAGCGGGGGTGGGGGGTGAGGGGGAGCTGCTGGGATCCAAGGGGGGCTGCATCCAGGGCCGGGGTGAAGGGCAGGTGAGCAGCTGGCCCAGGGTCCAGGCCCCCCGTGAGCCCGTGGTGCCGGGGGGGAGGGGGGCCACGCGAGCTCTGACCGCCCTCCTCTCTCCCACAGCCTGCTCCCCAGGGATAAGTCTCTCTACCTCACCTAACCCACCTCCCTCTCCTCCCGAGGCCGCCCGAGGGGCCGCAGCAGGAAGGAGGCCTGGGCAGGACGCGGGGCCGAAGAGAGCGGGGCACGCTGAGGCCCACGGCTGAGTCTCTCCCTCAACCTCTCACAGACTCTGCAGAGGCTGCCCCGCGCCCGCCGCCAGCCCACAGACCCCGCAGGAGCCCTCCGCCCCCTGACCGCCGCCCAGGCCGCCGCGGACCCCGCCTCGCCCTGCACAGCGCACCCCGAGTCCGGGCCCTGCACACCCGCACCCCGAGTCCGGGCCGCCCCTGCAGGGCCGCGCACCGACAGAAACCCCCCGATGCCCGGTGCCCGGGGCGGGCGGCCATGGACGTGCCCGGCGGCGTCCAGCCTGAGCCGGAGGCGCTGGGCCGGGCGCGGTCGCTTGTGTGAGTAGTGACACGTGTTTAGAGTGTGCCCACGTCTGTGAGGTCCTCTGGGGGAGGACAGTCGTTTCCTTTACGCTCAGAGCCTTTTTCTATGCCCTCGGCACCTGTTTTTAAGTTTCTCTGAAGGGGGACGTGCCCGGAGCGGCCGCCAACAGTCCGGCGTCCGTGCGGCCCCGAGCGGCCCTCCAGCCCGGAGGCTCCGCGCTTCTCCTCTAGCATCGCCCCCGCCGCCCCGTCCGCGAAGCAGGGCAGAGGCCGGCCGGGCTGTGTGCGGCCGGGGCTCTGGTTGGGGTTGGGGTCCCCCTGTGTGTGCAGCTGTTTCCGGCCCGGCCAGCGCTTCTCTCGGACCTTTCTAATAAAACCTCCGAAACGCTGAGCCTGTCCGTCTGTCCGCGCCGCGTCCCGGAGGGCGGCGTGTGGGGTGCTTGGCGGGACCGAGCCCCCTGCCTTCGGTCCGGGAAAGTCTCACGTTCGCCCGCCCCGAGGGGCTACGGATGGCGGGGCCTCGGGGTTTGACCGCCAGGGAAGGAGGATAACAGGGTGGAGCGCATAGGGTTCCTGTGATGATTGAAAGGGGTGAGGGCAGCTGAAACCGGTGTGGCTCAGTGGATAGAGCTTCGGCCTGTGGACTGGAAGCTCCCAGGTTCGAGTCCAGTCAAGGGCATGTACCTTGGTTGCGGGCACATCCCCGGCAGGGGGTGTGCAGGAGGCAGCTGATCGATGTTTCTCTCTCATCGACGTTTCTAACTCTCCATCCCTCTCTCTTCCTCTCTGTAAAAAATCAATAAAATATATTAAAAAATAAAATAAAAATAAAAAATAAAGGGGTGTGGGCAGGGGTGTTGGCCACACAGGGGGTGCTACTTAAAGAAAGAGCAGTGATTTTGTCACTGTTAGCTGTGCCTGGGACAGACAGCAATGCCTGGGATGGAGGAGCTGTGAGGAGGCGGAGGGTATTGGGCTGTCACAGCTCTGTTGGGGTGACCTAGACAGAGGAGCTCCCCACTTCTCTGGCAGCTCTTGGGGCCTCTCATCCTCCAATCCCGTTACCCGCCTTCAGCCCCAATGGGGTGCCATTTCTCTGTGAGCTTTTTCCTCGCTGGAGGGCGTTTTGCAATCCACGTTGGAAAAGGAAAATGAGCCCTGACCGGGTAGATCAGTTGCTTAGAATGTTGTCCAGAAACGCCGAAACCCGTTTGGCTCCGCGGAAGAGGCTCGGTCTGAGGACTGAAAGGTCCCGGGTTCGATTCCGGTCAAGGGCATGTACCTTGGTTGCAGGCACGTCCTCGGTAGGGGACGTGCAAGAGGCAGCTGGTAGATGTTTCTCTCTCGTCGACGTTTCTGGCTCTCATCTCTCTCCCTTCCTCTCTGTAGAAAATCAATAAAATATATTAAAAAAAAGAATGTTGTCCAGACACACCAAGGGTTAGGATTCAGTCCCAGATCAGGCCACGCGCCAGAATTAACCCATGGCCCCAGCCGGTGTGGCTCAGTGGGTAGAAGAACATCGGCCTGCGGACTGAAGGGCTCCAGGTTCAATTCCAGTCAAGGGCACGTACCTTGGTTGCAGGCTCAGTCCCCAGCCCTGGTTGGGGCACGTGCGGGAGACAACCCATCCATGTGTCTCTCTCACATCGATGTTTCTCTCTCTGTCTCTCCCTCTCAATTCCACTCTCTCTAAAATAACCAGTGGGAAAATATCCTCTGGTGAGGATTCACAACAACAAACAAGGATCAACCAGAATGCATAAATAAGTTTGTTTCTCTCTCTCTCTGCCTCTGAAATTAAAAATTGAAAAAGAGAACCTATCCAGCAGGCAAAGCGGCTCGCTGTCCTGGCGGTGACATGTCCGCAGCAGGAAGCATCGGTGTCTCCTGGGGCGACAGTCCCCTTCCTCCGGGGACCTTGTCAGGAACGTGGGCACGCCGAGACAGATTAATGCTCCACCCCTGCTCCGCAGAAAACAGCTCAAAGCAGCACAATGGGACCGGCTCTGGGTTCCTGCCCTCCTCTCACCCCCCTCCCCTCCGCCCCGCAGGCCCAGCCCTGCCCTCTCCGCGCCTCGCCAGGAGCTCAGGAGATGGCAGGTGCCAGGCGGCCTCAGCGGCCCGGGACGCCCAGAGGCGCCCTCAGTGTGTGAGGACGCCCTGCCTGCGGAGGGCAGGGGGCTGCCAAGCGGGGCGTCCGGTGGGAACAGAGCGAGGGGCCCGTGGAAAGCCGGGAGTGCTGACTTCGGGGCCGGGGAGTGAACTCCGCCCCCACCCAGGCCCCTCTATGGCAGGGCCGTGCCCTGCTCCTGAGCGTGGGCTGGTCACTGCTCAGCCGCCCACTTTGTCCGGTCCTTGTCCTCGGGGCCCCCTCCCCCCCAGAGCTGCCCCCAGCTGGTGACCGGGCAAAGGAGCAGCCAGTCCCGCCCCAGGGCCCAGGGTCAGGCTGGGCCACTCCCCGCCTCCGTCCCCTTCTGCACGCCCCTCCCCATACATACGCCGCCTGACCGGCACCCCCACGGGCTCTGCCTCCTCCGGGGGACAGGACCTGTGCCGCCAGCCACGCACGGGGGCCGGTCGGCAATGTTCCTCTCTCACCGGCTCAGGCCCCGCCAGGGAACACAAGCCTTCCCGCCCCTGGGACCAGCCCACGCCTGGCAGAGGGAGGCTGGGTCCCGCGTGTTCACAGAGCAGTCCTCTTCCCCGGACGTGTCTGCAGCGTCCTCTCCAGGCCATCCGGCCCCGGGGATGGCCACGACCCAGGGAGCCCCGCGGCCAGTGCCACACCTGCTGTGAGAGCACCGAGGCCTCTGCCACAGGCGATGCCCCGCCCCCGCCCCCACCCCCGCCCCCGTGCTCCCAAAGCTGCCACCCTGAGTTCCATGGCCATGGCACCCCCATCGGCCAAGGCGAGGCCGTGGTCTGTGCCCGCCACACCTCCAGGCCACATCCTACTGCCTGGACCCTGACGTTGGGGGGCCCCTCAGGTCCTGTCTGCAGCCCGCCCACTGTCCACGAAGCTGGTCCGGGGACCAGAACCACTTGCCCTTCCCGTTGAGGGCACCTGCTTCCATTCCTTCATCTCACAGCTCCCCCCACACGGGCATGGGAACCCGCACAGGAGGCACAGCTGGACGAAAGGCCAAGCCGTCCCCTGAGAGGAAGGCGTGGCTGATCCTAAAACCACCCAGCCATAATCCCTCCAGATGAGTTTCCACATCCCACCAGAAGGGGTGAAAGAACTCATATGCAGCCAAAACTGGTGCGGCTCAGTGGATAGAGCATCAGCCTACAGACTGAAGGGTCCTGGGTTCGATTCAGGTCAAGGGCATGTACCTTGGTTGCGGGCATATTCCCTGGTAGGGGGTGTGCAAGAGGCAGCTGATTGATGTTTCTCTCTCATCGATGTTTCTAACTCTCTATCTCTCTCCCTTCCTCTCTGTAAAAAAAATCAACAAACTATATTAAAAGAAAAAGAACTCATATGCAGAAAAGATCTGACATGCTATTGCAGGTTCGAATTTTTAAAAAATGCCCCACACACCAGTTGTTACGTAGCTCTGCTCCCCAGATTGCCTGAAACTAATAAGCCCAATCCCACCAGATGCTGGAGAGCAGCCTTTCATTGAAAAGGGGCTGTGGGGGGAAGGGGGCTGTGTGGAGACAGGGAGGGAGAAAGGGAGGGAGGCTTAGGGCTCAGCCTGCCCCAGAGAATATCGACTCTGCTGCCTCCGCATGGTATGCTCTCTGTGTCCTCGTGTGTAGCTGGGGGAGGGTAGCAGTTTCCTTCTCAAAGGTGGTTGTAGTAATGAGTGAACACACACAGAGTTCTTAGAGCATAATTATGATTGTTGTTATTGAACCTCTACCCAGGAGGTAAAGTTTCTTCTGTTATGTACTAGTCGGGATGTGCTAGGGTCTTCTGCAGTAACAATCCCCGCCACCTCAGTGACTTTAACACAGAGTGTACGTCCAGCTCTCTCTGCCCACAATACACTGGCCGGACGCCCCCATGGTACCATGAATGGAATGCTGCCTTCAAGACACGGGACGGAGTCCAGCAAATACTGGACAGGAGGCCTCAATGGCAAAACAGCTAAAGGAACCGCTTTGAGGAAGTCCCAGTCAAGAGAGAAGGGACACCTGTGATTGGTCTGTGGGTCGTCTCCCGATTTGGACATGGAGCCTCTGGGTGGTGATTGGGTCTCGATGAGGTCATGACGGTGGATCCCCATGGCGCATTGATGCTCTTATAAGAGACACCAGAGAGCTTCTTTCTGTGTCTCTGTCTCTCTGTCAGTCTCTGCCAGAAACTGATCGTTGTCTCACTACTCAGAAAGATGCGGAAGGCTGGTCAACCTTGAAGCTCTGAAAGGTCAGAGCCAACCTTATTGAAACAATGGTAACCGAGGCAACTTCTCCACCAAATAATCATGTAAACCCTTACTGATAAGATCACCTGCCTGCTACTGGAATCGCCTGCCTAAGAGCTATGGGTGTATCCTATAGTCTCAATAAAAGGGATGGCAAGGCCAGAGCCTAGCGGCAGTCCTCCCACAGCTCCTGCCTGGCCCCCAATGTTCCCAAATTAATACTTTTCTAG